TAAAAATTTTAAGCAGTTACTTTTACTTATTGTTAGAAGTTCTATTTATTTTGTGATCAATCACACATGTTTCACGAATAAACTGCATTGGTATTAACAGATAATAAATTGTTTAACGATTAAAAAGTTAGTATTATTATTTACATGTATTTCCTACATGTATTTTTTTTCCTTTTTCCATTAATCTCTTTGTATATAAATCTTAATTTCCCGAGGGGTCATTATGGGAATCAATGTACTTTTTTTTTAGGAATATATTGTCAGTATTGCGGCAATACAATACTAGCAATACTATCAATACATTAGCAATACTCAGAAATATTGTGCAATAGGTGGCAGTACATGAGATATAATAGATGGCAATATTACTGACAATACGAAAGCAATATAATATCAATACTAACAATAAAGTGTGTTGTATTGCTATAATTGGCAATCTGCACTGTACGTACATCTTTTTAGTAGTGGTTGACCCCCTCGTATAATTACCATACCTTTTCTTATACAGAATATTTTCCTAGGTGATTTTTTTTAAATAAATTTTTTAAAAAAGTTTCTCGATGCATGTATATTTATATACTGTCCACTTACTTGAGTGCGTTTATATACATACTTGGCTCATGTAAAAAGTTTTCGTTTTATATTAAATATAGCTTATATGGCTGTTGTTTGTTTTTTTAACAGCAAGAAAATCAATCATTTAGAGTTTTATAGAGTAATATATCGACTGTTACACGAGTTTGTTCTAGTTTATATTAATTGAGAATGTCTGTATATTCTGTATCTTTTTAAATAATCGCTAATAAAGGTAGAAAAAGCTGAGACATACATCTTCAACTAAAAATAATATTCAATTAATGTCATAAAAAGTAGATTTTTAATTTTCAAACTTGTTTTTAGTTACTAAATCGTTACATAATGTTTATCCGATCGCTTTTGTTATAATTTGAAACTAACATACAGTACATTAATGTATATTCTTTATTCTACATTCTTGGCGATTTCCGAAAGAAGTTTCGCATCGAACATTGCAGAAATGAATCAGCTACGATATATGGAAATACTCCGTATATCTCATTAAAACTTGTCGCGAGACCATTACGTGTTTTTTCGGACGCAGAATAGCGGAAAGAAGGGAAGTACGGATGATATATGTTGCGCAGTTTATGTAGCCACTAAGTATATGGCGCGGAATGGAATACATATATACGCTGTATATCTCCTTTATGGCAACCATTAACATATTTTTTACTGTACGTATTACCATACAATAGCGACGCAAATATTACAACTTATGGCCGTAAATTAAATGCATATAAAGGTAGCCGAAAAAGATATAGTATACTATAACTAATGAGAACGAACAAAGGAAAAAATTGATTATTGTAAACGCGTAATATTGTTTGCAGTATAAAATATGTTGACTAGTCATATGCATCGTAATATTATTTGCTACAGCAATAGCGACAAGGAAACGCTCTCAATTTATCTTATCTTCTGACAAGTTCGAATAAATAGTGCTTCGAATAGGATTGTGCGGGAACGACATAAAACAAATGATACGTAATGTAAATATCGAAGTACAAAAGGCAAAAGTCTTCATCTCCATTCAAATCCTTGATATATTTTATATTCCGCTTGCTGTTTAAAATAATCTCGTCTGACTACTTTCACTTTACGATCACAATGAAAATCCGCGCGTTGTATAGTGTGAAGTATAGTGCAGATTGCAAGGAGTTGAACAGGATATGGCCCTGGCCCTAATGCTATTCCTTTTACACCAACATGTACTATATTAATATTAAATACTTTTACTTAACTTCTGAAATTTTAACGTTAAAATTCGAGGTAATTGATTGATATAATTCGTGATTACATTGCGCTACGTTTACCGAGATTTTGATAGGAAATAGGTGCTCGAAATAATTTAAAGTTTCCCGATTCAGTTACTTTATAACGCACTTTTATCAAGAATAAAACGGCAATGAATCAATCATTTGATTCGGGCACAAACGACTGCGATTTATTCGCCTCCATGATTATTGTAAATTGTATATGGTAATCGATCGAATAAGTAAACGAGTTGCAATAAACTTATTTGATGGAACGTGTGATTTAGTTTGTTCGAAAATCATTTCTGCGAAAGTTTTATTCTAAATCAATTACAAAATATCATAGATTTGTTTGCTAATTTAATTAATTTACGGAACATTAAATATACGGGGCTACAACATAACTCACGTATAGATTGTCTTACAATTAGATATATGTTTCACACATCTATGTTTATTACAATTCATTTTCTATAACCTATTACAGTGTTTGATATTAAAAAATATAATTTCTTAAAAATAAGACCGAAAATAATCTTTTTATATTTTTGGTATTAAATACAATCCCGTTTACTAAATTGCTCCATCACATCATAATTTTGAGAAATTATAGTGTTTGAAATTTTCAAAAAAGATCAGCTATGAAATATGTTGTTAAAGTTCAAAATGATGGAAACAATATGGCGGATGTTAAAATTTAAAAATGTTTGAATTTTTGGAATAATTTACGTGTAAGAGTTTTTCATACAATTTAAATTGAATTTATTAATTTTGAAATCAGATTAATTTGAGCAAATTTAAAAATAAAGATTCTTAAGTTTGCATTAAAATGATTTAGTAGATGGCAGAATTAATGGTATTTGTAAATCGCAACTTTAACATAACAAATTCTATATTAATCATAAGTATTTTTTTAACTATAATTGATACACAACAAAAAGTTCTAAGGACTAAAGGCTTTAACAATATATTTAATTTTGAATACCCTAAAAAATTCCTTCAATATATCATATATCGTTATAGCATATCGTCAAAACACTAAAATAATTTCTTAAAATAAAAATCTTTAATCATAATTTTTGAAAATTGTGACGTAATAGAATAATTTGGTAAACGAGATCGTATTCAGTACTTCAAAAAAACGGAAAATAATTATCTTTGTTCTTGTGCATTTTTTGTTGTGAATAGTAGTCGGGATGATACAAGATATAGTGACTCATTACGTATGTTAAAAAGAAAAGTCATCGCTCTATTGTTACGTTACGTATGCAAGTTTATACATAGTGAGCGTTGCAATCACGTACTGAAAGAGACCCTGTACTTATATAATTTCAGTACATGTTTCGCGAATTTTGTGAATTTTTATCAGCCAAATTCGCAAGTAACTCGATTTAATTACAATTAATTGAAACAAAATGAGGCAGTCGAGAATGGTGGCATGGTGTGTGTTATGACTTGCCTAGCCGGCTTGGAACTCGATAACTTGCCTCGTAACCCAGATACTTACGCCTCCTGCTTACGGACTTCCGTGAACGTGTACGATTGCACATGTACGGCAGAAGTACGTGTGTGAGCTCTATCGAATTGAATCTTAATATGTGTTAAAAATTCAATTATACCTATTATGTTTTAGTGTCAATTTAAATTCTTATAATTTTCTTCTATAATTTTTTGCGCGTACAATCGATTTATCGAAATTTTTATTCTATTTAATATTCATCAAGTGACATAAAATATTATAAAGCAGCTATTATTTTAAAATCCGTAACTTATGTAATTTTTACGTAAAATTCAAATTCGATTGTTTGTCAGAAAATTAAATAGAAGTAGACTGAATGTTAGTAATTTTACAATATCATATTACATGTCCAATATTTTTTTAATGTCATCATCTTTAATGCGATTGTTTGATCGAAGCTCAATATTATTGAAGAAATGATCAAAGAAATGACGAAACTCGTCAGGAAACCGTGGATGATTGATTTATTATGAAATGTTTGGTTTGCAGAACACGCAAAATATATAGCTTCAAGTACATTTAAATTAAACTGAAAATGTATTCACAAAATAAATTTTAGATGACGTTTGATGTCTGATAATTGTAATTCTTTTGTATTCTTTCATTATATTGAACCATCACGATCCAGGTAGAGATAATAATAATTCAAGAAACAGTTATTTAAATTTGGCTTTAATATACAATATCAATTCAATTTGCAATATGCAGTTTTTTTAAGTTAGATAACTTTAATATAATTTAAGGAATAATTTTTTTAACTTGAATTTATGTTGAGTTTAAATAAATTATAAAATAATCTTGCCTCCAATCTGTAAGAGAAATATCTATTAAAATACTAATCAATAGATTTTAGAACATAAAATTTGTTTGCCAAATGCAACATAGATTTTCAAGTGTGTTTTCATGAGTGACCTGTCGCAGTGAAATATTGATGTTTCTTGGACCGTGTGCAAGACATTCTTGATTTAGGTATACATATATAACTGATGCATCGATCTTTTTCCACCTTCTCTTTATGCTCGTATTCCTTCGTTTTTTAAATAAGAATCGACAATGCTCGTAGTCGCGCACAATAAAGCAGCATGATAAAAGCATTTTTGTTTCTCTTAGATTATACGAAAGAACGATATACTTTCTGCTTATATCCTACAACGCATTAAAACGGAAACATCGGAGAAATTCCAGATAATGCCCAATAGTAAATTAAGATATAATAACTTTCGTGAAAGTTGTACGATGGTGAAGCAGTGGAAGAGCTGGAATACGAGGAGGTAGAGAACTCTATTAACTTTTATTTCTCCGAGAAAGTAACTTCTCTCATCCTCCTCTTCCTTCTCTCTCTTCCTCTCCCCCCTCCATCTCCACCTCTACTTCCAGTCCTCCTCCACCTCCTTCTCCTCCTGTTCTTCTTCTCCTGCTTCCACTAGCGCACCTCCATCTTCTTTCTCTTTCTCTCCCCCCCCCCCCCCTCTTTCTCTCTCTCTCTCCCATCCTTCCATCACTATCGCTCCTTGCCTCCCGTTCCCATCGTTGGTTTCTTCTCCACCTCGACAACCCCGCATTCACCGCTTCTTCTCGTTGCTCGATCGGCCGCCCTTCCACTCTCATTCTACCTCTACCCCTGCTCCAGTCCCAGCCCCGGCCTCGGCCCCGCCAACTTCTCCCGACAGTGAAACTTTGTAAAGCGACTTAGTCAAAGTTTAATAAATTCCTTCGAGGAAGTTTCAAAGCGGTTCTACGCGGGATTGCAAATGATTACGTTTCGTCGTGCTAGAGAATATGCGAAGATGGGAGAAATCGATATGTAGGACGGACAGAAACAAATAAATAGATAGAAGGAACACACTAATATAATTATGAAAATAAGGATATTTTAAGTTATATTAATAGATGTGAATCAAATAAATGTGTGTTATAACCAGATTCAATCAAACAGTAAAAAAATGTTATCATCACAAAGGAACTGAGTTGTGACTTAATGATGATTGGAACAAAGTTAAATTATTTGATATTAAAATTGTAATAACTCATTATAATATTTGTATTATATTTGTATGTTCTTTGTTTCCTGTGATACTTTTTTCATTGATTTTCATCTCTAATGATTATTCAATCTGATCTTTTTTTTTCTCGTTTCGAATATAAATCGATTTATCTCAACTTCCACAGCGCGCTACAAAGAGAAATCCTCGACTCGACGAACGTACAATCTCGTAATTTAGTTTAATGTTCCCGTGGATTGCGCGAGTAAGTTGCGATAGGTCAATCGATGTCGTAAGGCTGCTTATAGTCACGTATTCCTCTTTTGTGACGAATATCGAGACATGATATATTACAAGAACATCTTTTACGAGATAGTCCTCCTATCTTCGATTTCTCCTCTTTTGTCGCATGTAACTCGAAGGTAAATCGATAAGGGACTATATCGCGTTACGTCGGCGAAGCGTATATAATTCCGAAAGCGGAACGGGAGGAGGAAGTAATACCGCACCTCTCCGCACCGTACCGCACCGCACCGCACCGCGCATCGCTCGCGAAGAAACAAAAAGACGGATTCGTACTTTATGCATGAAAGAGAAGTCTATGCGTCGAACGAAGGGACGAACAAGGACAAGGAGAGAGGCTCACTGCATAACGAACATAGTCGACTCGGTAGTGGTGACCAGAAAATGGCCGCCACGACGCAAACAAATGAGCAAGTCTGACCATTCCCATGGCAACAATCTCAATCAGATAGGAACTAGCGAAGCAGAGAACAGAGAACGCGCTGGATAATATATTCGATACAGGTAATATATAGCGCTCCAGATACAATATTTATGTCCCGACGTATTTCACTAGCAGCCCATTATTCATTCGCTCGTACTGAATAAGCATTAATAGCATAGAGCTCATGCTTCGTACCGCGCAGAATGTTTTTCAATTCTATTCTTATTCCTGTCGTTCCTACTCTGTTCCGTTCTATCTCACTCATTCATGATTGGTATGCTCTGTGACAATTGCAATAATCATTACTATATGACAAATCAAAAACACATCTAGTTCTATTTTTTTTTTAATTTTGTTCCGGTCAAAGGTTATTTGCGCTTAATACACTACCTTCAGCATCGATGACTCGCAGAGTTGGCAGCAAATCGAAGAAGGGAGAGCGAACAGTACGAGAAACCGGTTATCATTGTTACAGCGTCGTCGCTACCACAAGTCATGGTCGACTACGAATATTCGAGATGCTGACGTCGTCACGACTTAACCCTTTATTGTGATAATATACAAATGTATTATTATTTCAAACCAAAAAACTTTCTCTCGTTTATTTAAATGAGCAAAATCTGAAAAGAAAGAGACAGGATATAATTTGGGTGGAAATAAAAGATCAAATCGGACTTGCGATCAAATTCGTCCTACCTCCGAAGACAAACTGTTTGTCTATTTTAAGGCCGAATGAAAAATTTATAAAGTATGAAGCAGTCAACGTCAGAGTAGTCCGTAACGTCGGATAAAGTACTATCACCTGATGAAATCTGAGATTAATACTTGGCACTGCTATTTTTTACCGTTAGAATTTATAATTAATTGTATTAATTGTGCAATATCTTTATAATGTGGAATACCATCATCAGATTTAAGTTTACAACGTGCAATTATAATTAACCTAGCATGCACTGCTAGTCAACAATCCTACGTGAAACGTTTCCCAGTATTCGATGATGTATACGTGTAACGGTAGATTGCGATTTCGAGGTCAAATGTCAGACTTGGATCCGCACAATCCGTTAAGGCATAACTAAATAACAAAGTAACATGTTTATGAAAGAAAATATAAGCATGAATAAGTTTAAATAAATAAAATATTATTTTATACTTATTCACGATATTATGCGAAATAATCGTTCGAGTTTACAACTCATAAACCTTTAGAAAAAAATATTAAAGAAGACATATATGGATATCACACGTCCAGATAATATCGAATAATACCGGAATGAAAGTTTCGTTAAGCTAGCAGAGGAACAGTGGCTTTAATTCGAATTCTCCCTCTCCTCCCTCATATATTACACTGTTTTATATCTCTTACTTTTGTTTTTATTGCACACTCATTGTTGTTTTCCACTTTGTTTTATGGCTTTGAAAAAACTAAATATAAACTAATAAATGTGTATTTCTCATGCGAATGAGATATATAATGTTTATATCGCAAGTATATATCAATACTTTTCTTTTATTATTTTCATAATTTTATCTTTGAAGTAGAAAGAAGGCGGAAGCAGTAAATTAGGAAATTAAAATGAGTATATGATCAATATTGTACTTTGTGAGAATAAAGTGTAATTAAATGCTTTACGTTTAACATAGAATTAAGGTAAGATACGTTTATACTTGGATGCAATATATTAAATTTTAGGAATTTTTCAACTTTTTTTGAAATAAAAATGTTTCTACACTACATGCATAACTATGCACAAATTATATCATATATTGGAGGAATATCTTTATTTATACATATAATGTTAATTTATTTTCGTAATTATATAATGTAATATAATTATGTGCTACAATTTCATAAAATATTGATTGCAGTCATGTTGAGTTATAACTGTGTATATTATACAACTGTGTAATACATATTTATATATTATATATAATATATGTATAATAATTTCTATAATATTTGTTTAAAACAATATCATAATTATACTTTCCATAATGCTTTGATTATATAAAAATCAAATTTTTAGCCAGTGGTAACATTTTTAAATTATTACCATGGAGCTATTACAGCAGCTTACAGCAATATCTATTAATAATAGCAATATCTGTCTCTATAATTATAAATTCTAATAAAGATAGTTTTCTTAACAATTAGTTCTGAGATGATAGAAACCGTTAAATAATTTGATTTTACATTAGGAAAACAAAATTGTGTATTTTTAAGTTATTATCATAAATAGTCAGTTATAATATTTTAGGATATTTTAGATATTACCGAAGATTAGTATATTATTCGAGTATTTACACATAATTTGATTCAAATATTACCCAAATATATTTATATTCAAGTATGTTTCATTATTTTAGATATCCAATTATGTTCGAATGTTTGATTATTTCGTTTATTTGAGTATGTGATTATTTCGACATAATTATGTATTTATCTTAACATTATTGAAACATTACTTATTATATCAATTATATCAATTTTTTGGATAATATTCATGTCATTACTCGTGCTGTATACTCACAGGTCATCACCCGACTTTTATATACTTGACGTCGCGCCGCTACCGAGTCACTTGATTAATAAATGAATTAAAAATAAAGAAATAGAAGTGGCTTTAAAATGTACATATTATCCGTTAAATAAAATATCTATTCATTATTAGGAAATAATGTATATGTTTAACAATATAATATGTATTTATTACATTAATTACATGTTATGCTATTATGTTAACGCATAACAGAATAAAATATAATCCCATACACATACGCACATTGTGTATATGTGTTCTTCTTCTTTAAATTTTTATTCTTTATAATTTTTGAAAATAGTGAAAAATTCTATAGAAATATTTTGCAAAAGTAATAAAAATATTTCAAGTATATAAAAAATGTTTTCAAACTTGTAAACTTATAATTAAAAGTTCAAAAAATGTTTTTAATTTTTAAACATACATGTTATATAACGTTTTTATAAAAATATTAAAAAATAATATTTTCCAAAATAAAAACAATGGTCAATCAAGGGCAAATGAGCCAAATTTTCCAAAATATTTTCAGTAATAATGTACAACGTATAAAATGAGTCGTATAATTGTATGTCTTAATGCGACAAATAATAAGACATACTAATTGTAAGTTTTGCACTCTACTAATCGCTTTGCGCATAGTCGTAAGTCCTCGGTTTGTTTTATATGACTTAAAATTTGTATGAGAGATAATAAATTTTCTAACTACACATTTCATATAAATAAAAGTATTTTAAACGGTTTATAAAATAAGTTTATAAAATGTACATTTTGTTTTTGTTTTATAATTCGTTTCAAAAACGAATAAGTTAGTGAATTTGGATGGCAGGATATAAATAAATAAAGCATTTTAAAAATGTTAAAAGTTTGAAAAAATTGATTTTTGCTTTTTTACGTTTATTTATTTATATACACAATTTTAAACATAACAGAAAATTTAATAATTTATAATAATGAAAATGATTTTATTTATATTCAAATACAATTTTAAATATAACATAATAATAATGTTTAATAATTCATAATAATGAAAATGCTTAGTGAAGCATCACAATATGAAAATAAATAATACACTTTATTGATTAACTAACTACACTTTTGTCTCATTGAAAAATCGATCTTTAGCTTTGAATGCTGCAACAATTTCGAGGCACTCTTTGTTTTCATATTATGCGTTTTCAGTTATAAATTATTAAACATTATTATGTTATGTTTAAAATTATATGTGCGAATAAAATAAATGTAAAAAAAACAAAAAGTAATTTTTTTCAAATTTAAAACGTCTATAAAATGTTTTATTTACTTATGCCTTGCCATTGAATTCTGCTGACATGTTTGTCTTTGAAACAAAAACTATAAAAAATAAACAAACTGTATTTTTTTAATTAAATCATTGACGGTTGTCGAAAACAATCTTCACCAAAATTTTTAAAAAATCATATGGATTTAGCACATCATAATAAATATTTAAAAAATTTTTCTTTTTCTGTAAAGTTTTTAGAATTTTGAAAAAACGTTTTTAAAAAACATTTTATGAATAATGAGTTTCCATTAATAAAAAATCCGTGTTAAGTTGAAGTTGTGGCTGAGTCGAAATTCATTGTTGCCTCTTTTCCGCGATGCCAATTGGTTGTTCTAAGCTCGATTGTGTCACATTCGACTTCTGTGTCGTGTCGTATTGGCGCACGCGTAGCGTGCATGTTTTGTCTAGTTCTAAAAAAAGGCATATTAATTCAAAATGTATCGTGGTTCTCGAAATTATTGTTGACTCTTTTCTGCTTATTGGTTCTTTCGCTGCGCTAACTTCATGAGCGGCTGTCATTGCATTGACTTTTGACAGTTGTATGTATTGAGGTTGATGTGTAATTATAGTCAATTATAGTAAAAAGTAAAAGTAGAGTTAAATAGAGCGCGCGAAGCGCGCGTCTGTTGTGCTAGTTTACACAAAAAATCGAAGTGATGAAAAATTATCACACTACTTTAAAAAAAAAGTATTTAAAACTCAGAAAACTTACTTTAAAGTACTTTGTTATAAATTGTTAAAAAATTAATTTTGTTGATATTAATTGTACTTGATTTTTTAAAGCATTAACACAGATAAAATAAGATGTAACTAGTAAAACTTTTTTGTCTTATTCATTTATTTAAATATTGATTATATTAAGGAATAATATAAATATTGATGAGATATACACTTTAGGCGATCAGTACGCATTCAGCAAAACTTTCCCCTCTATATATTGCATTTTATTTATAAATATTTGACAATTCAGTATTTAGAAATTGTAAAGTTATCTTATTCAACGATTCAGTAATTAAGAAAATATAACTTCAAATATAAAAAAAAGTTCCAGGTTTTACCTTATTTCACGAATGCAAAATTTTTAAACTTTTCTGCTAGCTATATTTGGCTTTTGATTTTTACGGCTTTTTCAGAAGATGATTAGATGCTTCAGAACTGTCTTTCTATTAACGAATAGTGATAAAATAGATACGAAAAAGAAGAAAAATTTAAAGTGACACTATTTGCCCCCCTTCCCTTAGTCTTTTTTATTTTGCACACTATGTTCAGTAGAGTTTTACTTATTTGTATGAATATCTTCTTAATAATAATGAATTAAATGATGAGTTTAGACTAAAAGTGTTCTAGACTTTTTTACGAAAATTATAGAATTTAATGTTTTCTTAATTTTGTAATAAAAAAATATTACATTCTATTAAAAAAAGTTAAGTTGACCTTCAAATGACCTTGAAAAAAACGCCAAGAGTAGTTTCAAGGTTATTATACTATAACCCTCGAAACCTTACAATTTTTGTCTAATCCATTTTTCTCTAAAATTTCGCGATTTTTCAAATATTCGACTGTCAAATATAAAAAATGGGACACCTTGTATATATACTGCATATCCACACACACACCACGCGCGTGCGCGCGCGCGCACGCACACATATACATGTGTTACATATGTGTATACATATGTTCAGTATAACATCTTTTTAAGCGAAACTTATAGGTATACATATATACCTATAACCTAACCTAACGTATGTACATCTTGGCCATATTTTACACGTAATGTGATAGTATAGGCGTCATAAGGCTTGCATATAACTTTATTATGCAGCGATGTGCTATGATATTTTTTCTAACAATTTTATCTTCTTTTCATAACATCTAGTAGAATTTTATAAATGGGTTTATTATTATACGGACAATGTATTTGTCTGTATAAATCTAACATCGTTACACGATTTATATAATTTTATGTAGCAATTTTTGTTATAAATTTATAAGATTTCATGTAGATGTGCAAATCTGCATGAAATCTTTAAAAGTGAATAACTTTTTTATAGGCTTTTATTCTAGTTCTAACAATTCAGTGTTGTTCTTTTTTGTTGTCCGCAGAGTGCCATATATACTTTCAATTTGCACATATGAACTATAGATTTTTCATATTAATCAAATGTTGTCATGAAATTGAGCAGACTGCTTTATCGACCTCGTACAAATACCACTAAATATGGCCGACCTTTCAGCATCGTCTTAATAGTATTTAATAAGTACCTATATATACATATATTAACGAAAAACTATAGTTGGAATTTTTATAGCATTCTATAATGAAAAAATAAATTTTGAATTTATTGATATATGTATATCTATAAATATCTTTATATACATACAAGGCGTACCAAAATTGACAAATGATAAATATTATAATAGATTCTTAGTAACATTTTAAAACAACAATTCTAATATGAAAATGTTAAGATTAAAATAGTTTTTTAATAGAAAGAGCTTAAAGGTTACGAATGACAGAGCTCGAATTTTGTGCACTCAAAAATGGCAAAACGGTCAATGATAAAGATTCTTTCATGAATCGAACGCTTTCGACAATAATGTAATTATTGTACAAATATGCAATGTAAAAATTTCAATAAGAAAAACTGCTTGTTTTTTTCCTAAATGAATTTAACAGAAAAGTAGATCAAAATTTTTATATTAAACTCAATTTTATTACATATCAATATGTCTCATAATCAATTGTAATTATATTACGATTTAATTACGTGAAAACATCAACATTTTTTTTTAAACTGTAAGACTTCAAGAGTTCAGAAAAATAGAATCAATTTGAAATAAATAGAAATGAGAGTACTTCTTTAAAATCCACGAAATTAAAACATATTTTGTTCA